ATGTATGTGTGGACCTTATACTAGTCCTCTGTACACAACAGTTAGTTCTCAACTAGTTTATAAGACACACAGTCCTACCATGTCTCTGTACATGTTACAATGTCTTGTTTTGTACATAATGGTTCTAGAGTTGTTCTTAGGCTGCTTTTATTAAAATTTAGTGGCAATGTTCAAATACTAATGATGAGAATTTCAATCTGAAAGAATATTGATTTTCTCAGTGAGTGAACAAGAACTTTGATAATGTATTCTAATTTTTTATAAATATGAAAATTACAAAAAAACAAAACAAACTTATTTCTTGTGTGAGAGGAAAGTAGATGTTGTAAGGAAAAACATATAAGAACAGAAACTGATGAAAGCTAAATGAGATAACCAAGCTTTTAATATATTTTCTTATTTTTATAAAAGAGTACGCTACCAATACATTCCTAATACTGAGCATTGTATGGATTATATATATATATTGTGTTATAAAGATATTAATCATTTAGTGGTAAATAAAAAAACAACTGAGATTAAAAATAGGGAAGGCAATAGGACTAATTGTTGTTTTTCTCAGGGTTTTAAAGAGGAGGTCAAAAATCAGTTGTATGAGTCTCTCTCTCTCATTTTTGATTGGTAAGTAGACAGTGGAAAGATGTTTGAGGAGAGCTGATAATGTCACTCCTAGTTTGAAAGGGGATTCACAAAAGTTGCCCTGGAAATTATAGGCCAGTTAGTCTTATTTCTGTAGTGGAAAAAATTCTAGTGTCTAATAACAGAAAGTCTGAAAAATTATATAGTAAAATATCGAAAATTAATTCCAACAAAAATTTACTCAAGGGAAATGTTGCCCTACTAACATAATATTTCTTCTTTCTCTTTCAATGGATGTTACTTGTTACCTGTATGCTAGAAAAGAAGTAAATTTTGTGTCTTTTAAGCATTAAAAGGCTTTGGATAAGGTAATACACAGAAAATTAGGTAAGAAAAGCACAGTGGTGGAGACTGGTGATAGAGACTAATTTATCAGGTTGAAGGGTGGCTATGTAAGATAAAGTTATTATACATGGAGTCAAGTTGTAATGGACTAAAACAAAACACTGTTAAAATTGACCCTAGTTACTAGTGGTGTGCCATAGGTCAGTGCTTGGGCATTTCCCCTTTTCTTATTTACATTAATGACAATGATAAAATAATACTAAATTAGAAAAGTTTTACTGATGACATCAAACTCTTTGGTATTTCTAACTGTACTGAGGACATTAAGGTATTGCAGAATAACTTGCATCAATTAGCAAGTTAGCAAATGACATTTGATTGCAGTATAACTGATTTATCATAATTTGGAACCCACTTCGATAGCATGGTTGAAGGAAAGGATCACGGCATAATGGTAGGTACATCACTAAAGTCTTCGAGGCAGCACTCTGTTGTTAGTAATAAAATTAATGGAATTTTAGTGTATACCAATTACAAGTCAAATGAGATAATTATCTGTATGCACATTGCTAGCAATACCTCACTTAGAATATTGTGTACAGTTTTGGTCTCTATCTAAAAAATGACCATTCAATAACTGGAATAAATTCAAACAACTAGAATAATTCTTTGAATGAAAGTCATATTTCATGGAGATAGATTAAGTCTCAATTTATTTTATTTTGAAACAAAAAGAATAATAAAATGATATTATTTCATTAATTAAGTTTACAAGATTATCTAAGGAGCTAATACAAATAAAAGGCTGATTCTGTTTTGCTAAGTTATGAAAACAACAAGATAAGAGGACAGCAGGTCAAGATTTGAAAAAGACAGGCTAGGTTTCTTTTAAGAGAATTTTATTTTCTTAAAAGGATGATTAGTTTAAGGAATGAAATGCCATCAGCAGTAGTGGAAGCTGGTGTCTTACAAGTGTTTAGGAGGAAAGTTAATGATTTCTTGAAATAATGTAAGATTTTAATTTTTTCCTTTTTTTTTATAAGGATGGGTGAGCAGGTACAGGATTTAAGGATCAAATGGTCTCTTGTTGTTTCTGTGATATGATGCACTGAAAACAGCTAAGACTGTTTTGTTTTTTAATTAAAAAATTAAATTTTGAAGTAAAGATTATTGTTTCCTTGTAAAATACTAAAGTGCAGCCCCATTTGAAATTCTGTTTTTAATTTTGTTCCTCTTGATATAGGAAATGTATTGAAGAATTGGAAATAACACATGAATGACTCCTAGAATAATAACTGGTTTAAAGAAATTGAGTTAAAAGGAAAGGTTTAGAGACTCTGGTATTTGATTTAAAATTAATTTGATTTTTTAAGTGGAGCATTTGTGAAAGAAGACATGATTTCAAGTAAATGAAATTGTTAGTGATTATGCAATCTTTGCAATAGACATTTATTCCTTGAGAAAATACTTTCAGATTTACATATAAACTATAAAACAATTTGTTTCTAAACACATTACATTAATGTTATGTATTTGTTTTAAGTAGTTACAGACAAAGTGGCCCCTAAAAAAAATTGTTTTAACACATTGTTTGTTTTGCTATTGATAAAGAATATGTTAGTAATTGAAATGATTTTATATCTATTACCTACCTTTGTACTTTTTGTAATATTATATTATTATGCAGTATAATGATACACTGACACATATGAAATACTACATATCAATGTATAGTAGTGACCTATTAGTCTATTGAATGTGGTTTACTGTACATATTTGCATCTGTTAATATAATGATGTTGTTCAAAGCATAAAATATAACTTTATAAGCAAAACTGCTTTCTTTTAAATATCTCAATTCCATTTCTGTCCTTTTGAACTCCATTTTGGGTTTGTTTAGTCTGTTCCTACATCTTTATGAACCCTCTACAAAGTTTTTGCTTTTATACATGATAATATTATGTTCAATGTATATTCCACATATGACTAGTAAATATATGTTACTATCTATAAAAAAATAACATATCTAAGAGAATTTCTATGTTTGAAATAAATATTAGTTAGCCCATGTTGAGGTTCACCTACATGAATTATAAAAAACTCTAAGCATTTTTAATAAATATTATCTAGTCAAAAGAGATTATTTGGTATCCTTTTAGTTTTAAACGTTTTTCATCACATCATCATGTGAATTTCTGTAAAACAAAAATGTGTAAATCACTTTCTGTTCAACAAATAATTGAATAATAAATAAACAAACAGTATTAAGTTAAAAGTTAGTTGCAAGATAAAAACTTTTTTCGTGGAAAAGACGATCTGTTTTGGTGTATGTGTAACGTTATGGTTTGTGCATTTTAAAATTTTGACTATGGGACAAAGTGGCTCAAAAAATATCAGAACAAAACTGTTTTATCATATTGTTTTGCTATTGTTGTATTGATAAACTATAATATAAAGCATATATGTCAGTAATATAACGCCCTTCTGTAGCTCAACGGATATCTGAAGGCTAATGCTAAAAACCAGTTTCGATATTCTAGGTGGGCACAGAACAAATAGCCCATTGTGTAGCTTTGTGCTTAATATCAAACAAACTAAAAAAAGCGAAATGTAACGCTAATTTACTTACCAACTTTGCGTGAAAATGGTTTTGTTTTATTCCTTCAAATTTAATATTCATTTAGCAATTTCTTGGGATAAACAGCTCTTAACGACAAAAATTTGGTTAACACATATGTAGATTTCACATCATAACAAATGGTTTCAGTAATAAAACACGGTAGTAAATAGAACTTAGAAGCACTAGTGTTTGTAAACAATGGTATTCTGTGCATACCTACGAAAGTTATCACGTTTCTATGGTAACAGCATCTATGAGCAAAATACAAAAATATAAATACATAAAACATCCTGTAATAAAATAAGGCAAAAATTATACATGTTGATTAGAATAAGATGTTTAAAAACCTTTATAATTAAAAAAGGTGTTAAAGACTGATCGAAAGCATCTACATGTATTATAATATTTCGAAATCGTATTAAAAAAATATGTTAAAATTCTTGTTACAAGAAGTTCGTAATTTGACAGACAATCAGCATCGGGATTTAGATCTTTGCAGATCTGGGAAGATCAAGGTTCACCTGGACCTTTAACTCCCACTGCATTTTTTAGTTTACAGCTGAATATTCTTTTAATTATGACATTTATTGCATTTATTCTGACCCTTTCAAGTCCATGTATGGTAATCAAGAAAATATTCGATAGGAGGAACACACTTTCTCTTTGTTCGTTATTGCATAAAAGTTACATATATCGCGGACACTTCCAGTTGCGTTTCACATATTTTTCATTAGTTTAATTATTGCGAATGCGTAGTACATAAAAAATACACTTTTCAATGCTCTCTGAATTATAGGAACTAAGTATGGATATAGACTTAGCTCAAGGTGGCCTTAATATATATTTTATTTCTAATATAGTGTTAAGACAACGCAGGTCACGTGAAGCTTGTATCACGCCACTTCCTCCTCGAACCTTCATGAAATGTCGGGAACTAGTAGATTGGGGTAGTCTTATATATATAAGACCGGCCAAGAAGCAACGTAAAGTAAT